TGGGGGGGGGGGGTGTCTGTGGGCCAGACTAGTTTCAGACAATTCCACTCCTCATCAGTGACTCTGCACACTATTACCATATGAAACTTCAGACCAAACCAAGCCTTTATAGCAGTAAGGTGGGGTATCAAAAATCGAAATGGTGAATTTGAGTGTTTTAAACTCAAAAAAGAAACCTATCATTCTATAGATATTTGAAGAACTTGCAGCATTCCGCCACAATTTAATTCAGACACACCCCCAATGAAAGAATAGACCATTCCAAGCTTTTACTTGTTGTTAAACGAATGTTTAAACAACTCTATCCTAATAGCTTACGTTTTTAAGTATCTCACTTTTAAGTATCTAATGTATTGCACTTTTTGATAATGATCTCAGTGCACAAAGTTTTAGATATTAACATTTGTGGTCATGATTTTACTATATAGTTTATACGAGTAGCATTCTCAATTTGAAAAAATCTTTAGAAATGGTAGTTAGGTTTTAAGACATACTCTCTCAAACTAAAGCAACCATTTAAGTGACGAAATACAGACAGTTGAAGTTTCATATTTTATAGTATTTCAGATAATAATGTTTAGTGTCTATATATCCCTATTCCATAAATTAACTGATAGCACATTTTAACATAAAACAGTATGTGCTGCCTTAAAGAGTCTTAACATCTGGATGTTAACAGTTATGATTTATTAAACATGTTAATAGATTTGATGAAGTGTGAGAAACTGACTGTTTTGATCTAGGAATTAGTGAATCCTAGAGAAAAAGTATAAACTTCATGAAAACTTTAATTAATATAAACGTTTTCCATTTATGACACAAAAAGTCCATAGCTGTCTGTATGCAAAGACAGAAATATAGCTTGATGTGGCACAAACACATGAACGAATAGTAGTTTGAAAATCATATAAATTATGTAGAAGAATTTATAAAGTTACAAGTTTAAGTTGCTATCAAAATAAAGATCTATTTGTGCTTATATGAAATATTCCATTTCTGATGATAGGTTTCAGCATTTACAAAGAAAAACCAATATCGAACCATTGTTAAAAATTACTACATATTTTACAGTGCGTGTTTATATTCACTAAACTTATTTACAGTTTTTCCATGGTTAGTTACCAATAATAACATATTAACAAGAATTTCTCCAAGATGCTACTATCACGTTTTTAGTCAGTTTACATTCAAATTTGAAATGTGCTATTACACACGTACGCGTAATCATCGAATACAAAAACCTAGATTAACAGTGTCCTGTGGTTATTTTTTCTAGGACTTAAAATTTTAATAAATCTCCTTATGACCAAAGCTTTTATAATCTTAGGTATTTTAAAATTATCACAGCTTTTCAAGTTGGTTCACAACTATTCTTAAATATAACTAAGCAAACCTATTAATATTCTAGCTTTATCTCTGATGAAGAAAAGTCCCACTAGTATTTCATCTTAACATGTTTTTTTTTTACTATCATGAACTCAAACATAAAAACATACTGTTAAGCACATATAATATCATTTTTCAAATAATTTAGTTAAAATTAGAAAAATAACACACTTATAATACACTTAGCAGTGTGAATTTATACCTGTTTATAAAAAACTGTGGACCCTTCATCTTTAGCAACTGCTGAAAATACTCTTGTGTATTGTGTGTTCCTTACAAGAAAAAAATACAGAATTACATTTTGTTTTTGTACATAATCAAGCCTTTTACAAATTCTCAAAATTCAAACGTGCTAAGGTCAAAATTATATATGAACACAAATGGCAGAAGGATGACAGCATACACACTTTTCCCATTTTTTGCTCTTGTTGTTGTCATAATATCTTTTTTACTGTCACACCACAGTATATCATAGAAAACAAAGGTTCTTAAATCTGACTGAATTTCAAAAAACATGAAAAATTTACTGAAAATGAAAAGAATTTATGTTTTTTTGGGATCATATCCTACTTTTTCCATATTATTATTTTTTTCTTTCTGGACTTTAGTTCTTAATATTCTTGTCTCAACAGATTTACTAGGTAGTACAAAGCTAAATTTAAAACTACATAATCGTTATACATTTAGAAACATATAAAATGGTTTAGATAAGTTTAGTTCTTTAGGGTGTGAATCTAGGAGAGTAATATTTGCTTTTTTATTAAACCAAAATCTTTTTTTTCAGATAACATACTAAGTAGCAGAAGAGAAATTTCTCCAGAAATTCAAAATCAGCCACTTGAAATAATTGGATCAGGTTAAATCAAATTAGCAAGTGTTGCTAAATGTATGTAACAGCACCCATACCAATTTGACTCTAAAAGATACCATACTTAACAAGGCTACATTCAACCATATTAATTTGATGCTAAAAGGTACCATGCTTCATAAGGCTACCATTCAACCATACCAATTTGATGCTAAAAGGTACCATGCTTCATAAGGCTACATTCAACCATACCAATTTGATGCTAAAAGGTACCATGCTTCATAAGGCTACATTCAACCATACCAATTTGATGCTGAAAGGTACCATGCTTCACAAGGCTACATTCAAGATAAGGCTACTTGTCAATACAAAGCATGATGGAAGCCTGGTATGTGCCCACTGATGTGAATGAACATTTATACTGTTTGTTTTTGTTAAACACAAAGCTACTCAATAGACTATCTGTACTGTGACCACTATAGTTATTGAAACCTGGTTTTTAGTATTACAAGCCTTCAGACTTACTGCTGAGCAACTGGGAGGTGTGAATGAGAACTAAACAGAGATGTTGATGGGCATCAAAATGAAATTATCTTTAATACTAAACTCAGAATATATGAACACATTTTTCTGTCCAATTTTTTCTTATTTCTATGCAGTATGTGAGCTTAAACACTATTTTCAACTATTAGTCAGAGAGAAAGCAACCAGTTAGCAGCACTAGCTACCCAAAGGGTTTTTTTTGCAGCTTTGAACCAAATAATGCACACATACCTAAAGTGTGGAAAGCACTTAGAGACACAGTGGCACAAGCCTCAGACTTTCCGATCTGTATATTTGTATGCTACTCACTAGACAATGTCTGGCCTGAGTAGATTTTCCTAACTCACTGTATTTAACAATGAATACACAAACCAATACTATACCAAACTATCTTACACACTGCTGTAACTTAAATCAAAATTTTATCTTAATTTATCTAAAAATGTTTAACAAACTAGCTTCCTGACCTAGAAGTTTAAAACTATTAAACTCGCACAAAATGTTTTAAATTCTTCCAACAAAACTTAAAAGCATACTTTAAACGCGGGTGATTTCATTACTCAAAAAAATTATTTTTCAGTCAGGAAATAAATTGCAATTTTATATATCACTTTACGAGAAAAGATTCAAAATTAAAAACTACATTTGTTTCACTTTTAAATGCTTCATTATTCTAATATGTTTACTAACCAGGCAGACAGGGTGCTAGTTTGAATACTAACTCCATACATTTGTGACGACATTCTGTCTGTGGCTTGCCACACTGCTGCACCAACCACAGCACAGCTGCTGACAGTGTTGTTCCGTCAAGACACCTGTAACACGCTACAAAATGTAACAACTTGTTCCAATAGGAAATATTAAACAATACACATATAATAAATATAAAAGCGGAATATTATTTTTGTGGCATGGTTTTTTTTACACACACACATCTTTACACTCTCTCATTCCAAAAGTAATTTTGAGGGTATTCAGCTCTGCAACTAAAGTTAGAACTCTTTCCTTATATCTCATTGGATAAATTTATAACATGAAAGCACATAAGTCAGATTAGTTAACAAAACCCATACCAGATGAGAAATACCATTTAAAAAAAATAAGTGCTTCTTATCTACAAATAAACAAAACATCATATAAAATATTATTTAATTAAATTCCAAAGTGTCTGTTTTACACTATTAAACAAGGGTTACACAGCTTCTTACAAGGTTCAATGTAACTAAAAACAGACTTAGGAGATCTAAAAGAAGTATTTATTGATAAGGGTGGAAAGCCAAAGCACATTAATGTAAGTGAAATAAAAAAATGTATCTAAAGATATAGATCATTTAGTTACAAATTGTCTAAAGCTCCGATCTGCACAACATACACTGAAATGAGAAAATAACAATTTTACACATTGTCAGCTCTTTTCAGCATGCTAGAAGAAAGATAGAAATCATCAATATGATATCAGGGAAATGTCAATTGATCATAAAATACATGTTGAAACATCTATAAAATGAAACATACCCATAAAAAAAGAACTATACAAGGTATATAAAGAAAATTACTTTTTATGAATCCAAAAACCACATAATTCTGCACAGTGAAATTCATGTTAAATACAAAACAAACACCTACTGTGGCTGACGACGTTGTTTGCTGGGTTTGTTCAAAAGTTCAGCCCTTACTCTCAAGATACGCTCAACATGATCGAGTGCTTGTTTACACTGTTCCTGCGTCCCTTTAAAATCATAAGATTCAGAAGATCAGACTACAAATTATACATAAAAATTGTTACACAAGTTAACTTACACACAAAGGAAATAAGTACATTGCAGAGCTTTCCCATAAAATACAGGGTGTCCCAAAAACAACAGGATTCTGTTGCGACATACATTTATTGCTTTCTTTTTCTGTGCATTGCAAGTGGCTGAGAGAATTTTAAATTTTACTTTAGAAACCTCCAATATATAATTTTTCCACACAATGGTCAATGTTTACATTTTATTCAAACAGCATTGATGACACACACAGCTATTTATCATATTCAACAACTTTTCATAACTTAAACATATAGTTCAAACATTGACTGATTCTGCCTGTATCAATCGCTTTTCTTAAGGTTATTGCCGAATACTACGAGAGGCCCTGCACTTTGTATCTTGTCAAGGGACACACTGAGGCAGGCTGATTCTGCATATATCAATTACTTCTTTTAAAGATTAACTTTGGCATCCATAAATCACAACTAAGTGTGCAATCTGCATACTTCTTGGTTGTTCAATCAAGCTCATAATATCTTCCTATACTATATACCTTACTCTTTCTCCTATAGTTTATATTCCATGTTTGAATATTGTTTTTTCTTAAGTTCTAATTTGGAATATATTAAATCCAGTTGAGGTCAAGTGTCAAGTTCAAGTGTAACTTTCTATACGTCAAGGAGGTTAGCTTCTGTTTCCTTGGACAGTTTTATTTTAAATATCGAGAAAAGGGAAGGCAGCAGTAAGCAACACCCATTATTACAAGGGTTTGTTCAACTCTCTGAACCAAATAATGGAATTGATTGACTGTTTAATGAACCAATAGCTAGAAATGTGAATAATTTTAGGGCATCACGTCTCAAACCCTGGACCCTTCTACCAATAGCTCTACATGCTAATCTCTAGGCTACACTTGGGCTATCTTTTTTAAGGCTATCATGACATTATTTACTCACCTAAAGATTTTTCATCCTTGTGGGCAATAGCCAAACTGTTAACAAAATGTACAAGTGTTTCCAAAATAAACATGTTGACTAGTGGTTCTTCTTCTCTACAAATCACAAATGAGTCCAACTTTAAACACAATCAGCAACTACTTTTACCATCACTTATAAATTAATCGTATGTTATGTTTTAAAAATATGTAATAACAGCTAAAACATATAAGTTGTGAAGAACTGGAGTTGTTTCAAGTTATTACAACCTTCAAATTAAACAGTGACATGCAAGTGTGAATTCTTAATTTTACTGATCATTTACAAATACTATGTGCTTTTTAATGTTACTGTTAGAGTTTTTAGCCAGTATCTGTTCAAAGATATAATTAGCTTTAAAAGCAAAGGGAAGTTTTATATGAGGCTAGTTATCAGATTACTTTTACTTCCAGAGCTAGCCTTAAAGCAAGGCAGTATGGGGGGGGGAGAACCTGCATAAATATTTTTATGTGATTCTTAAAGAAGAAACAAAAAACCAAAACCATACAGTGGACAAAGTACTGAATGTATCACATCATTCTGTTGTACAATTTCCCTCAGGTTTTTTTTTAATTGCCTCTTGCCTAGGGACCCACATTGGCTAAGACTGGTTCTGTCTGTAGCAATCATTTTTCTTAAGGTTAACTTTGTCATCATTGAATTACAAATGAGTAATCTACATACTTCTCAGTTGTTCAGTCAAGCCCTCTATATTTATACATTACCAGTATGGATATATTTTTTTCATTTTCCAGGAAATATTCACATAAATTAATCGAATGCTTTTGTCAAAAGTGGTTATTTTGTTATATACAGAAGATTAAAACACAACTTTAATGCCATTTGCGTAAGAAAGATTTTATACAACCTCAGGTCCACAGAAAATGTTGCAGCATTTGAGCTTATTCTATGGTGTATTAAATAAAACTCTTTGCTCATGATGTGTCACCAATGTGTCACAGAACAAGCAACTGAAATCCTCAGAACCTTAACATTGGTAACTATTAATTACTTAGAACTTTTAGAAGCAAATATTGCAATTTCATTATATTATTTGTATATAGTTATAAGTGTGTGTGTTAAACGACTGAAATCACAGCAACCTGAGCTGTGGCATATCATATAACACTTTTTTGAAGCATTGATCAGCTAAAAATTCCTTGATGTACATGTACATGGTCTTTTTGAGCAGAGGTGGAAAAAATATACACAACCATTAGTGTGTAACAAAGGATTTAGTACCTGTATGACACAAAGTTGCAATAACAGTCCTGTTTACAATACATTCCTCTTTCAACTAACACTTAACCATTATAGAACAAATTTAAATATTATGGTTGATTTTTTATTAATCTGCAGAGAAGTGGGGTGAGGAAAATTATTAATAAGAACTTCCAAGTGAAACAATTTATAGATTTTAACAGAAGCCACGCTGCATTGTAAATGTACTGGTAAAACGTAAGTATACAGATCAAATACAAAAGTAACCCAACATGCATTTGTGTTGCACGAGAGCTAAGCACTAAACATCACATTCATCAGCAATAAAAATGTGCATTGAATGTGTTTTCTAGTTGGTTCATACTTTTTAGAAGGAGTGATAAAAGATGCAAATATTTTAAAACTGCCCAATTAAACATCTAGTTGATAAAAATAGTGTCTTCTTTGATAGTTCAATGTTGCTGAAAATGTTTTATTAGAACTGCTGAAATCACAGCTTCTACGAAGTACACATTAAGGAAAGAAATTACATATTAACCAGAAAACATGTTAGCACTACCTTTCATGATAAGTGCTCTATAAAATTATACCTAAGCAACAATCATTTCCACATGAAAAACCTTTTTTTTTTACTTCTAAGACAGATGAACATATATGATATAGTAGTTTTGAGAAACAAAAAAAATAATGAATTAAAGGCATCAAATATCATAAACATTTAGCAGAAATTCAGTTAATAAAATAATATCTTACATTAACAAGTCATCAGTAAATAAAATGAAATCTCAAATTTACCAGTCATTCAGCAGGTAAAATGAAATCACACATCAATCAAGAGAGGTGTACCTAACTAGTTACTCAAGGTAAGCCAGAAGTAGGTCAACGTGAATGGCACAACTATCATCAAATGGCTTATTCAAGAACGAGCAGAGATGAGACTAGAAATACCCAGATGCTTCGTGATACAACAGATTGTATTAAATGCAAAGAAAGCAATAATTCAATATTAATACAAGAAAAACCAAAGCAGATAAAGACTACACCATATATGAACAATTTTGGTGACAACTTTTCTATGAATTTATTGAGAAGATATTAAAATGTTCTGGAACTTTTATCAAATATTAAAAAAAACGTTTGCATGATGTTTTTATCATTAATATAGAACTATAACATACAGCCTGCAATTGAACAGACTTACCTCAATATTGCATATATATGGTTGAATGCCAGTGCTGCTCCGAGTCGCTTGAATGAATTTGGGTGAAGGCAGTAGCTGTAAAGACGTTTCATCAATGCCTTAATGTTTACTGGACTTTTTTCTTGTTCCTATTTTAAATAACACAAAAGTATTATATGTAAAATAAAGAAACTTTAGCATTTTAATTATGTGGACTGTGTTTTTCTTTTGTTGTAACCAAGAGATCGTACCAAACAACTTTATTACTGCCTTAATTTTGACTGGAATTTTCTTATATTTTAAAACAAGACAACACATTAAACACACTTATAAGTATTTGACTCTTGCTTAGGCCTCTGTTTATTGTTGTGAACAGGAATACACTCTCAATATACTTTATTACTGTCACATTCTTTGCTACACTTTTGTTTATTGTTGTGAAAAAACACTTTAAAATGTTTTATGACTGCATTACTGTTGAGAGGACTTTTGTTGTTTCTTGTTCAGAATAAAATCAAACACTAAGTGTATACTTTACCGTTAAGAGTTTTTATCAAAAGTTAATTTTACATATCTGAACGAAAACAATTCAGAGTCATTACAAATCAATAAAGAAAACCCTGTACAACAAACTGACTAGAAATATTAAATGATACGCATTTAATACACAAGAAAACTAAAACCTATGATGATTAGAATGCAGTGAATAATCAGTCAGGTCCTTTCACTGTTAATAAAGAGGTTAACTAAAATTCTAATACTATTTCACAAATTTGGCCAGCTTTGTACCCAAAAATAAAGAAGGATACCAGCCCCTGGTGTCTGTGACACATTTGGTCTTCTTAGACCTCATCATGTCTGGGTAATCTTCCTAGCACACTTTAGCTCCCTTGATACATCTTTTGTTTGGAGTCTATGCTATATAGGTGTTTTGTGAGTAAATGACATGTTCCTTTTTTTGTGTATTCTTTAAAACATGTCTTCAACATTTATTTCAAGTATTATTATGGGTATGAAGATTTTTTTGTAATGTCAGCTTTAATAATATATAGATTTGGGACTCACCTAAATCTATTGACTACCCTTAGAGTAACTACAGAAGTAGCTGGGGATATGGAGGAGCCTGGTCAGTACACTGGGGGGCCTTTGTGAATAATGAAGATGCCTTTGAATCCTGTATTAGAGTGGTATTTTATGCTAGTTGCCTCAATTTCTGGTTTTTTGGTAAATAAGACAAAATTATCATGTGACTTACTTTTTGATTCGATTATATTAAAAAGTGAATTCACTATATCAAAACCAATTTACAACTCCAAAAGAAAATATGCCTTACCTTCGGAGCTGTTTGCTTTATTGACCACAAAACAAATTCTTTGAGGCAGTTTCCACTGAAGTCTCTTACCCAAGTATCTTCTCGCTCAGTGATAGCATCCTAAAAGTAATATGTAATATAGTTTAGGTTATTATGACATAAATTATATATATATATGAGAAAATAACTTGTACAGAGAGTTGCTTTTATTACATTAAAATAATTCTGAAGCCTCATCATGTTGTTACATTCCCTGTTGAAATATTCGATAATGCTTATCTCATGACTGTGCATCTTTACAATGGTCCTGCAAAATATCTTCCATTGCAGAAGGCTCTGTTATATTTATTATAAAAGCTGTAATGTCCAAAGCATATCACTCTTTCCTGCAGAATTTTCATAGTTCATCTAGTGTATAAGAATGACAGTTAAACAGTTTGACTTCAAACTAATCCATAGGCAGTATGTCTTCTTATGGAATACCATAAATTCCTATTTGATTCTCCAGCTGCTTAAGGTACGCGATAGTTGAATGTCAGGTATGACTGGAAGCCTTATCTTGGTGAAATCATATTCTACAGACCTTACTTCTAGTCAGAGATCCTTCTTGATTATGTTGTGTACCGTTGCCTGGAGGAAAAATACAGCTTTGGTCATTGTCCTTTACATTCATGGATTTACACCTATTACAAGATGTTGCCCTATGCTTACCACTGCTGAAGTACTATTGATGCAGGTCTTTTTCTAGATGGTCCTGGTGTCTCAAATTGATCCACATTCCATTATTTTCTAATGTCATTGAGTAAAAGGGATATTAAAGTATTAGAGATTCTAAATCCCCAACCTGAATACATCTTTATGATTTGCATATATGAATATTTTGAACTGGAAACGGCTGTTAAATATCCTTCTCGAAAGCAATCCATTTTTAGATGGCATCACGCTTTTTATAAAATATCATTAAATTTTAGATCTGATACCTGCTATGATTTAGCTGTTCAAATAATCTCCTTTATTCTATGCAACCATTCCCAATATTTTACTACCACAAGCCATGAAGAGTCTCAATTCCAATAAGAAGTAGCTGTCGTAAGTTTTTAAGTTTTCTATTTTTACACTTAAATTTTTCTTATTTGTTGAAATACTTAGCTAACTGAAAAGGTTATAAAGAATATAATTGGATGAGAACAAGTGAAACTTTTGGCTGGTCCCGAGTCTCAGCAAATAAAGATTATGCAACTCCTAGAAGCTTTTATAGCAAATTCTAAGGCATTTTGAGGCATTAGTTATTAACATTATTTACTGCTAGGCTAAACTCTAAACACTGGAGTTTTGCCACATTAGATAATGTTCCAATGAACAAAATTACAAATTCATCATTTCATGAAATATTGAGAAAATACTTGTACAAATCAGTTTCCACTAAAGTACTTTAAGTTGCTGACCAATAATTTACAAACTGAGTATTTTAAAAGGCAGATATGGAATATTATGTATGTTTGGACACGAACCACTGTCTTAAAAATGTATTGATGCATGCTGGAATTTGTTTGCATAGTGACAGCCCATTTTTTCAGTACATTTTGGTTAATAAAAGGACATGATAATGTAATGACAGGAAATGCATTAGATCAGTTAGACACAAAAGTTAGTTGTAATGTTCTTCTATTATTTTATGATACCTTCGTCATCAAGAGACATTTTGTAATTGATCAGCTGTTCATCAACCAGCCAGTTAAAGGAGCTTTACATACCATTTTCAGTGGAGCATAAACATCAAAACAGACAAGGCAATCTTGGATTAAGCCTACTAGTACTGGCATTTTGTTTCCAGCTACAGCACTCATACACCAAACATTTTTCTCATTAGTTAATGAGATAAAAACAGAACTTAATTTGCTTACGAAAAAAAAAATTGCCAAGAATAAAAACTAACACAAGATTCAAACCCTCTGAATGTGAAGAAAGGATAACAACAACACTGAAGTCATGAAAACATGATCTGGTATAATTCCTAGAGAAGGGTTTGAAGTGATGTAATACTCAGTCCAACATGCAGCATTATTAGTAGGAAGTAGGAGAACTTGTAATCACTGAAGAGCAGTTTGTGAATTCCATATGTTGTTGACTATGATGTTTCAGTAACTTGTTTTGACTGTCTTATAAAGTTCTTTACTCCATTAAGTTTTCATGAAATATAATTGCTGTTCTTGTGCAACATTCGATACGTAATACTACGGTTAAAACGTATATGTTAAATATAATCACTTGCAAAAAGAAATATTTGAGAAGATTATGGATAAAAATATAATAAGTTAAAACATTTCTTACCCACAAAGCCTGAAGAAGTGTCATGGTTTCTTCACTCATTAAACCTCTGTTATTTGTAAACCAATGAATTATTTGGTAACACAGAGGTTCAAAAAGTTGTCTAGCCACCTATAATATAGAACATTAGAATATTTGTATAATTGCTAAGGGAAAAAAAAAGTGAACAATATTTACAAAAAAAAAGGGTAAAAAAGAAGCAAAAATGGAAATTCCTGTAGAAAAATAATGATCTTACTAAAATTACAAAATAAACATATACCTTCATAATACCAGAAAATCAAAGTTATAAACATATGTTTAAAATGTAAAGAGATTTGTTTTGGTTTCGATATTCACAAAAAAAGCTAGACAAGTGCTATCTGTGCTAGTCATCTCTAATTTTGAGCTGACTAACTAGAGAGAAGGCAGCTATTCAACAGTATCTAATTTGTGGGTTACTCTTCGAGGATCATTCCTTATAATGCACTCCAGCACCAGTTATTATTTTTTTGTGACAATGAGATGCAAATAATGAACCTTTGGGTAGACAATCCAGCATGATAACTAGTAAGCCATGCCTAGTCCTAAAATATTAAAAGATGCATTTATATCATTTTTGTTCTTGGTAAATTTTCTGTCATGAAGAACAAGACTAGTATGAAAAAGATTATGCTTACTCAACCAAAACTCAGTATTACATGAAAAAAAAAGTTTTTATAAATTTCGTAAAGCTGACAACTCATATCTACATTTTTAAGTTAGCACATTATTTAAATAAGTTAGATATTATTTTGTTCTTTAGATATAAGGTATGGGCATAAACAGTGATTAAAATAAACATCATATAAAGATCCAAATTTCTTAATGGCTAAAGTTTGTATCATCACTTAGTTTACTATATAATTTTTAAACTTTGATAAAATGGTAACACAATACCTGCTCCACATCACACGCTAACTTCAGCAATGCTGGAAATACCCGCTGATACAGCTTAGTCATAGGATACTGTAGGACAAAAAAAAAGTATTTCAAAAAAATAAAAGTATTTCAAAAATATCTCATAATCAAAGAATTATTTTCAATATTTTATAACAAATTTCAAAACTAAAAACATTTCAAAAGTAGTTTTACTCTTATACACAAAATAGTACAGTTTGTTATAAACCAATAATATCCGAAATATTGCTTTACAGATGAAGATTTGTTATAAAATCATGAAATTATCAGACTTCTTGGATCTTATGTGATAAATTTATTTTGAAATATAAAACTCAATGAAAATTCTCTACTTATTAAACCTCTTAATTCTTGTTCACCTCTCAAGAAATGTTTTGTAAAAAAATACATAATATAAAGTTAAGGATACTTTTTGTTTTAGAGATAAAGATTTGACTATATTTCAGGATTCGTATATTCATGTACTTAAACTGTCTTCATATATAAATTCAAATTGTATGTAAATCTATATTTATTTGTTGTACAGCTCTGAAATAACCTTTATACAAAGTGTTCTTTAGTTTTAGCAGTAATGTATATACCTTTTTCTGCCACTCCTTTGGTTGTTGGACACTAATTCCTATCATGTAAATAACCAGAGCATGGAAAAGTTCACACGCAGCAACTTTAGTCTGACGATCACTAGCATTGCATGCCAAATGAACCACTTGTGGAAGAAAATTATCTGCAAATAAAACACAAGTTTTTAACAACTTTTAGAGAAATCAAATAAGTAAAACTGTTAGTATTTTCATAATGTGCTTGAATCAAAACTAGTCAAGAGAAACAAAAAAAAAACTGAGAACAATGCATACTTAATAATATCTTAACGTCAAATACATTTATTTAATTTTCACTCTTTAAAGTACTGCACTTAAGCTAAAGTTTCTTAATATTTTATACCTAACTGTAATAGCACAAACAATAATCACTTTAAGTGTATTTTCATACTGTTATTTTTAATTTCTCATATCAATCGTCCTATATCACTTTCTTCTAAACCTATTTAGAAGCAAGTGAATCTGATAGAAATGTAGTGAGTTAACAAATGTCTGGATAATTTGAATCTAAAGTATGCAAGTTATTATTGAAAATCTGAAAGATAAGTTTGTTTTTTCAACAGCTTGAGGTGTCTTGTAATCTTAAATTTTGATATAAAGCAAGAGTAACATTTACACATTCTAACTATAAACATTTCGAGCTAACTATACGTACTTATTAGATGACGAGAAACCCACTTTGAGACTAATAATGGTTGGAGAAGGCTTGAATGGGTAATGAAGAAAAACTTTAATACAAGTTTAAAATACCAGCAAATGTACAACGTTTCGACAAGGTTTTGTCATCATCAGGTACAATTAACTCATTTTTTGTGTAGCCTTTTGTTTAAGAATCAAAATCACAATTTATCATGGAATTCATAAAAACCACAACTATAATAATTGACATACTTTTTGTTAAACTTAAAAACACCAATACCAGGTGGGTCACACAAAGACTACATTTCTGACCTGACTGAGCTGAATAATAGATTATGGGATGCAATGAAACCAATGTAAAAACAAAAATAATATTTATTAGACAACATCAGGTCAAAAATGTTATGTACACAAAATCTTACACACTGCTTCCTTAGATGGCAGAAACAGATCTGTGAATTATCAATTTATTATGAGAAAATTCTGCCTCTAGACTGAGATAATTAACCACTGTATACTTGAAAAAACAGGGTCAGATCTCTTAAGAGTAACCTACATCAATGGATTGTCTCACTGGTAAAAATAAGAAGGACCTCTATGTGTGATCTTAGCCGAAAACACACAGTACGGGATCCAAATAACTCACTTTGCAAATATATGAACATTAGGGAACCTATCAATTGGAGAAGCCTAGTAATGTGTGTAACTAACAAACCCAACAGGGATGATATTTCTCAAAACTGACTTTTCTATACACAGGACTCTACACACACCACAAATTTATTTATATCTGAAAGATTTTGAGAATTTTGGTAAACTAATGTTTAAAGTTAAAAGAGTAAGGAAACATGGGTATCTCTTCAAATATCATATAATTACAACAAACAATTTCAATGTAAATTAAATAATATCATTAAATCTGTGTCCTCAGCATCAGAAAAAAAAATCGTTTCATTGCTTTTTTAACAAAATCAAATAAGTGATATGGTTAATATTTAATTCTCACGAAACTATACAAGGCACTTAAAAAAAAAATCATTCATCTGCAAATGCCAAGTCCAAATAAATTAACTGAGCTTTAAACATATTCTATCATGAGAAATAAATACAAAAGCATTATCAAAGAAAAACAAATATACAAAGACAGTGCACTTGTATACTTTGTTTGAAGCTTAAACACCAAGTTAAATGGAATTAGGATAAACAAGCAGTTTGTCTCAGATATTCATGTAAAGCTACATAAGGGCTATCTGTACCAGCCCTTCCTAATTCTGAATTAATGTATTAAAAGGAAGCCAGCTTGCCAACAGCACCATTTACCAGCTCTTCAGCTACTCTAATGAGATAGTGGGATTTCACTGTCACTCTTATAAGGCACTCATGACTCCAAGTGTGAAGTTAAATTTGTTTTGTTTGTTTGTTTGTTATTGTTGTTGTTTTTTGGGGGGAGGGAGGATAACAGGATGACGAACATTGACCACTGGATACACGACCTTATATACTAACCATCAGGCTACACCTGGCCCTGATTTCTATGATAAAAAATACTTTTTCCAAGAGACTGTAATAATTCTGTAAAGTTATACTACAAACTAAAATAAAATTCTTGGATGTTTATGTTCAATAAATATGTTTATAAACAGTTTATAAACTGTTTACAATGAACAGTTTGTGTTCAATAAATATAAGTTATAATCACTATGAATGTTTTAATCTACTAATTAGTGTGTGAAGCTAACAGCAGATAATACTGTTCTTTATACTGTAATTCATTTGATGTATTATTTTTTACTGTAACACAAAGATTTTTTAAAAAAGTCATCTTTTTCTGCAACTCTAATAGTTGGTTTTAAAAAAACACTAAGTATTTACCCAAACAAATCTCTGGTTTCATATCAGCAAAAGGTACAGCAAACTTCAAGTGATCTTGCACTCTATTATCCCAGGAAATGGCTTTTTCAGAAATTTTCTCCTCGCTTTTCTCCAAAAGAGCTTTGTTGTTTTTGCCACCAATGGAACCCAAAAATTTCAGAATGCGTAGCCGTAAAACCGTTATTTCCGTTTCCTGAACCTAAAACAATCTAACCAATCAGTTTCTAGGATTCGATTACACATCTAACATAGTAATCAAAAACAGACGTTTTTACCAACTCAGTTAAACAGATACTAAAAGCAGGGAAATTATTTAAACCCCTTGAACTACTGCTATCACACTTTTCCCTGCACATAAACGAAAATCATCATTAAGGCTATCGCATCAAAATTGAGGAATTTCTAGTTGGTTGACAATTTTTCTGTGATATTCCAACACCGAGACTCCACAGGATTTGATCCTTAGTTCTTGAGACGTCAAAGGCATGCAAGATCAGATGGGAGGTAAAAGACAACTGGTTGGGACCAAAGGGTGGGGGAGGGGATAAAAAGACTGGGTGATCACTGGTGATTAGGCCAGTGAGTAAGATGTTGGATAGAAGTAGGACAAAAAGTGGAGGAAAGACAGTATACAGGACATAGGACCAGGATTGTGAGAAGGGCCATGACAAAGTACAGAACTGGTGGTTGAGATTAGAAAAATCAAAGGTGTGAGGGAAGATTGATGGCAGACAGCTGAAGCCTATGATACCAAAATCCTCTGGACATAAAGAAGGGGGAAAATGAAGATACCATAGAAAGGTAGAAGGAAGACAGACTTGAGATAGGAAAGTACACTTTCCCCAAAGATTCCAACAACAGATGAATCAAAGAAGAAAAGAAATGGTAAAAGAAGTGAAACAGGCCATGGAAACAAAAACGGAGAGATCTAGCTAGATTTTTGAGAAAGATCGTAAGGTTGTTTGATTGGTTTTAAATTTCGCGCACAGCTACACGAGGGCTATCTGTGCTAGCCATCCATAATTTAGTAGTGATAGACTAGAGGGAAGGCAGCTAGTCACCACCACCCACCTCCAACCTGTGGGCTAATCTTTTACCAATGAACAGAACATACTACAACCAGTAGAACCACTGTAGAAAACAGAACATACTATAACCAGTAGAACCACTGTAGAAAACAGAACATACTATAACCAGTAGAACCACTGTAGAAAACAGAACATACTATAATCAGTAGAACCACTGTAGAAAACAGAACATACTTTAACCAGTAGAACCACTGTAGAAAACAGAACATAATAAAAACAGTAGAACCACTGTAGAAAACAGAACATACTATAAACAGTAGAACCACTGTAGAAAACAGAACATACTATAAACAGTAGAACTACTGTAGAAAACAGAACATACTATAATCAGTAGAACCACTGAAGAAAACAGAACATACTATAAACAGCAGAACCACTGAAGAAAACAGAACATACTATAACCAGTAGAACCACTGTAGAAAACAGAACATACTTTAACCAGTAGAACCACTGTAGAAAACAGAACATACTTTAACCAGTAGAACCACTGTAGAAAACAGAACATACTTTAACCAGTAGAACCACTGTAGAAAACAGAACATACTATAACCAGTGCAACCACTGTAGAAAACAGAACATACTTTAACCAGTAGAACCACTGTAGAAAACAGAACATACTATAACCAGTGCAACCACTGTAGAAAACAGAACATACTATAATCAGTAGAACCACTGTAGAAAACAGAAGATACTATAAACAGTAGAACCACTGTAGAAAACAAAACATACTATAACCAGTAGAACCACTGTAGAAAACAGAACATACTATAACCAGTAGAACCACTGTAGAAAACAGAACATACTATAACCAGTAGAACCACTGTAGAAAACAGAACATACTATAACCAGTAGAACCACTGTAGAAAACAGAACATACTATAAACAGTAGAACCACTGTAGGAAACAAAACATACTATAAACAGTAGAACCACTGTAGAAAACAGAACATACTAAAAACAGTAGAACCACTGTAGAAAACAGAACATACTATAAACAGTAGAACCACTGTAGAAAACAGAACATACTATAAACAGTAGAACCACTGAAGAAAACAGAAATTATATACAACCAAAACTACTGCAGAAAACACACACACACTATGATAAATAGAGCCACACTATAATTAGCAGAGCCACTGTATATTTAACTGAACACTATTTATATTTACAGAAAAGGTTTTACATAATTTATTATAAAGTCTGCCTCACAAACATATATGAAGCAACATAAACGAAAAAACTCTTTAATTAATTATTAAAAAAATAACTATAAAAATTACGAGCAAAATACATTGAATTACATATATGTTACTCTATTAATTTCAAATTACAAACATGCTTTTATATCTAAAGTATTGATAATGTTGCAAATTCTTATTATAATAATCTCACCTTTGATTGATTATCTTTATTAACTTTTTTTATGAAGTTTGCAGGAGATTTCGTTGCAAACTTATTTTTGGAAGACGTCCTGGACAAAAGTGGAACCCCAGCAGATTCATCAAGATCTAGCGTGTGAGTGAACTTTTGTTTTGTTTAGAAGTTTTTATCATATGATAGTGTCTACCGTTAAAATACATTATTTCAACTTTTCTGTAAACAAACTCAAATTAAGTAAAATACACTTTATAAAACATATAAGTACAAGAAACTTTTCATATATTGCTCTTAACATCTATTATAATATTTCAAAGTTACTAACAATTGAAAAATAGCTGAATAGAAATTAGCTGAAAATATTTATAAACTGAAAAATACTGAAAGACACTTAAGAAGTTCATTTGTTTTATTATCCACTTTCTTGTTTATTAAGTATTTTAATATTTTTGGTGTTTGTTTATGCTTCATTAAGGAGCCATTTGGATATGCTATAAGTACTATTTTACTAACTGATGTACCCATCCAAAGTGTTTTGGGGGGGGGGGGTGACATAGAAGGGTCAGATTCAAATGTTGATCCTTCCTATGTCCCTTCCCAAGATGCCCTATTAAAAGTGTTTTTACCACTCAGTCCAGCAGTTTGCCAATTATAAAGGACAACATACCGATTTTTGTCAAATAATGGTACAGTTATGATTTTTTTTTTATGATGTCAAGTTTTGCTCATTGAATATTTATCTGTCTGTTCTTAAACTTGGGAGTTAACTGTTTGGTTAGATAACTTTGATTTTTAAATTAAACAATCTTTTCACTTCTACAAGCATAAATTCAAAACGAAACAAGGTATGAAGATATATTTGCTGTGTATTAATCAAACACACATTAACACACATTCTACAAGCATAAATTCAAAAAATAAACAAGGTATGAAGATATATTTGCTATGTATTAATCGAACACACATTAACACACATTCTACAAGCATAAATTCAAAAAATAAACAAGGTATGAAGATATATTTGCTATGTATTAATCGAACACACATCATTTTTAATTTAAGAGATAATTAACATATTTATAATCTTGTTTTTTTTAAGACTCATAACATAGGTAAATTAATTAGTAGAATAATATACAGACTGTTCACTACATAAAAATAGTTTTCTTTTACTTGTTAGCTTTTTGTTCTCTTACTGGTACCTTCATCAGGCAACAATATACAAAGCAATATAGATAAATAAATTTGTATCGCTTAGTACGCTGTTGCCCAATGAAGGCTCCAGCAGATGTGCTGACAGCTCACAAATAAAGGAATTTTAATGTAGAGAAGAGTTCTCGTATAATTCTAATTATTTAGAAACTTGTTAACAAGTTGTGAAAAATCATAATGTTACCGATTTTTTTGGTCTTTTTCTTATAATTTGTAAGGAAGATAAAATTACATGGAAAATCACACCAATAGACTTTCACATATTACTATAATTTTATTGAGCTTTAAAAGCACTAAGAATTTGCCTCAAATGTCAAGGAAGCATATTACAATAAACAATATGTTAATAATATAAGTTCTGTGCAACTTTATAAAAATATGTTCTACTGTCCAAAATCAGACTCTGGTTGGTTGGTTCGTTGTTTTTAATTTCGCACAAAACTACACGAGGGCTATCTGTACTAGCCGTCCCTAATTTAGCAGTGGGCTACTCTTTTACCAATGAATAGTGGGATTGACCGTCACATTATAACACCCCCACGGCTGAAAGGGCGAGCATGTTTGGTGTGACAGGTATACAAACCCGCAACCCACAGATTTCAAGTTGAGCTCCCTAACCACCTGGCCATGCCGGGCCTAATCAGACTCTGGCACAGACTTCTAATAAAGTAAGGACTAAAAACTCGAGAACTTTACATTAAACATTTTTCTTTCACTTTCCTGATCTTATCGCACAATTGCTACATTTTATTTAAAATTATTTCACACAGTCAGAAAGTTATACTGCACATTTTCCTTTATGTAAAACAGAAACCTTCTTTGGAATGGTATTAGTTAATTTTACCATATGTCATGGGAAATAAATTACTTGCTTCTCTCAGATTCAGGATCAAAAGATACAGGCAATCTCAGAGGGTATCACACATTAAAGTAAATAAATATATATCTGAGAACTTAAAGTCTAAAAACTGTAAATGTATACTATAACGAGGGCATAGAAACAAAAAATATATATCTCTACGTTCATACCATTTGTCGATTTCCCTACAAGATACCCATTCAGATGAGGCAATATCTGTGGATAGTACGGCTCTAAGACTTCTGGAGGTAGCTTGGTTGACCAAACTTCTAATGCTTCTAATCCTGCAATTGCTAAAGGTAGATAACTAGCTCCTAACTGAAAGGTACACTGAAATTTGAAAACAAAATGTATTTGAAATATATTCACTGTATACTTTACCCTAAGTTACTTGAATTGATTTAGATATTGTAAAAAAAAACAAAAAAACTCCTAGGTTCAAATACAGACCAAAGTACAACAGTTCATGATTGAATGTCGCTCATAATTGAGCATCCACAAGATAAGAGTTTCTAAATTAATGAAGCCTTTAATGTCAAACTTTTCATAATCTGAAAAAAAAGTGTCATTTAACATCAAAAACTGAATGCACAGAGAAATTTCATTTCAGGAAGGTGCTACAAAGTTCATGGGGTTATTTTAAATTTATGAACACTATACATCCATGAATAAAAAGAAGGAAAATGAAGTAGAGCATGAAAAGACAGATGACTCCATCAATAGAGTTAAAATATAATTCATGAGAAACAAAATTAAGTTTCCAAACTTGTCTTTGAAGGGGTGATTTTTTAACAATAACTTTAACTCATAAGTGAGTGAATATTCCACAAGGCCACTTTTTTCAACAAGTAATCACTCTACATTCATATACGATATGTAATTATATCAGTGAGATTAACCTCACAATGTCCAGCATCTCACATGAGGCAAGAATATGACCAGAAGTTGAGGAGGTCACAGTTATGTATTGGAAATCTATGGCACAAACACTGTTGAACCTTTGAAAACTCATTATTAGTATTACATGAGATTAAAATGAAAATACAGGAAATATGCACAACATCCTCAAGTAATAAATATAAAAACTCTAAGAACCAAGTAAATCCAGAAAACTTCTCACACAAAGCCTAAACAGCATCTAAAACGAAACAAAGCATCACAAAGCCTCTGTTACAGTGATAAATTTAGACAAAGAATAACAAGCAAAATTCTGAAAGAGTTGAGAAAAAATGTGATGATACAAGGTTGGGTATGAGCCAGGTTAAGGCTTGTTCAGAAACTATCACCTAGTAAATGTCATTAAAAGGCTTGAGAACACAATATATAAGATTGCAAGATTACTACACATAATATCCAACAGTCATCATCATCATCAAGTGCCGTGTTTTGTAGCATAGCGATTATGTCCCTCCACCTTTCCGCATAGGCGATCATGTCCCTCCACCTTTTTGCATAGGCGATCATATCCCTCCACCTTACTGCATAGGCGATCATGTCCCTCCACCTTTCCACACAGGCGATCATGTCCCTCCACCTTTCTGCACAGGTGATCATGTCCTTCCACCTTTCCGAATAGGCGATCGTGTCCCTCCACCTTTTCACATAGGCGATCATGCCCCTCCACCTTTACGAATAGGCGATCATGTTCCTCCACCTTTCCAAGTTCCAGACGCTTGTGATTACATCAGTCACCCTCTCTTTGTGTAGCCAATTTGTTAAACTGTCCAGAATCTTCTCTCGCTGTCTACCTCTACTTCTTTCCCCCACAAATTTCCAAGTTATTACGAAGTGTTCCACCCCCCTTTCTCCTCATCACATGACCAAAGAATGCTGCTTGTTTTTTCATACTTTTGTTATAAATGTCTTTTTTATTCAACAGAGTAAGAATAGGGGAAAAAAAAAGCATAAAATTCCTAAATTTAACACCATCAATAGAAAAGATTATTGTGATAGTACAAGGAAAATATTTTATTTGCACCAAGTTTGGCTTAATTTGGTTATTTTTAAGCATAAAGCTATAGAATGAACTATCTGTGCTCTGCCCACCATGAGTATCAAAAACAGATTTTTAACATAATAAGCCTGCAGACTTACTACTGCAGAGACGATGGGGGGTTGCCCCAAGTTTTTATTTGTTTGTTTGTTGATGGGTTGTCTTTGCTGTGTCTACCATGGGTATCCAAACACAAATTGAGAAATGGTATTACAACACTTTTCTTCAACAGAACTTCTAGCTCATTATCATATTAAAAATTACAGACAATATAACATGACAATTACAAAATAGTTAACAATTAAATTTGATGTTTTAAAGATTTAATATACTTCTAAACATTTCTTAACATCTAGATTATTGTGGAAATACATAACAAGTTAGTAAAATCTACATCAAGAAATGATAAAATATCTTAAAAATAATGACTGAATGTGTTTCAAAGAAATATGTATATACATTACATCAAAGTTAGTAATGAGAAACTTTGCTTTTTGATACATCAACACAAAAAACGTCAGTGTTCTGAATTAGGGACTAAATAAAAACATAGCCCAATAGATCTCTAAAATTAGCAATATGACTTAGAAATATATGCAAATATATTACTAGATGTACTTCTGCAGGATACCTGAAAGCATTCTGTTTCAAAAGTAAATAAAACTAAAATTAAGAAATATTTCTATTTCTTGCTTTTGAAGTTCATATATCATACTGTGTTGTAGCCTACAGAGTGCATAATTCTTCTCATGATTCATGGCATGCGCACATTTTACTGATGTCATGACAGTACAAATTGCAATATTAATCATCCCTTATGTGAAATCATTTAATGTCTACTGACTGACAGACAACACACTACTGTATAGTGGGAGAAGTGGTTAAAATAGGTGTTCCCTCCAGACAGCCTTTGGTCCCCTTTTGTGGAAACAAACAGAATAGTAAGAAATAACAGATTATATTAAAGGCAATATAATTTTGGCTTAATTCTGAAATAGCATAGAAATTTTGTATTTATTACATATTTTACCTCTAAAGAAGGAACAAGGTGACTGATTTCTGACAAGACAATTTCAGAAGGAAGAGACAGCACTAGCTGTAAACAGGATGCCAGAAGATCATCTTTGTATTGTTGAAGGCTGATCACTGCATCTTTCGCAAACTTCGAAAACAGTTGAAAACTAAGGATCCGTTCATTTTGGAATGGATCATCTACTTGCATTGATTCACATTCTTTTGGCCTAAGCAGCGTGTTGATGTTCTGTTATAAAAAAAAACAGCAAAACAACTAATATTAAAGATGTCTGCACCTTTATTTTCTATTTAATATGGTAAGAAAATTACACTGTACATTCACCTTTATGTAAAATAGATACCCTCTTTTGGATGATATTATTTGGTTTTTATGTAAACCAGATACCCTCTTTAGGATGATATTATTTGGTTTTTATGTAAACCAGATACCCTCTTTAGGATGATATTACTTGATTATTATGTAAAATAGATACCCTCTTTAGGATGATATTACTTGGTTTTTATGTAAACCAGATACCCTCTTTAGAACAACATTATTTGGTTTTTATGTAAAGCAGATACCCTCTTTAGAATGACATTGCTTGGTTTTATGTAAACCAGATATCCTCTTTAGAATGACATTACTTGGTTTTTATGTAAAGCAGATACCCTCTTTAGAATGACATTACTTGGTTTTTATGTAAACCAGATATCCTCTTTAGAATGACATTACTTGGTTTTTATGTAAACCAGATATCCTCTTTAGAATGACATTACTTGGTTTTTATGTAAAGCAAATACCCTCTTTAGAACGGCATTACTTGATTATTATGTAAACCAGATATCCTCTTGAGAAGGATATTAGTTGGCAATTTCATGAAAAACAGATACCCTTTTTAGAAAAGCATTAGTTGGGTTTTAAGAATCTTGTTTTTCTCAAAATATTGTAATATTTTTGATGTAAAGAAAAGACAAACAATGAATATAATGAGAGCAAACTTATTTATCTAAGTAATAAGATATAAAGTAACATGTAACAAGGAGTATTAAAAAAAATCTTTCAACTCAACAAATGTTAATTATGCTAGTAAACTCCAGGCAACATCTGGATTAGTTTTCTAACTTCATTCTATACCTAAAATATTTTTTAAACCTGAATGGTGAAGAAGAAGAAGGGGGAGTTATATATTAATACTGAGTGAAAAATACAAATCAATATATTATCACTAATTTCACTGTTCTATTTTATCAATTTTTGAAGTAGTAACTAGGCTTATTATTGCATTCTAATAACATAAAAGATTGACCTATCAATACAAAAATGTAATAATAGTTGTTTAAATACACTTACATTTTGTGAAGTCATTAATTTATACAAAACATTTTCGCACAAATATTTGTACATGTAAATGCACTTAATTTTAAATTGTAAGCAAAATGTTTGAAAATAAAATTAAAACAAAATGCAACATGGTCCACTATTAGTTTATCATTTTATTTATTACAATACAACAGTAGGTCAGAGAAGCTTATAATACTAAACACATTCACTGACCTTAAAATACTTGATTCTTGAGCAGATCTTCAAACACACAGCGGCTAACTTGTAGAAACCACTTACACGAGGAGATCTAAAATTACAAAAAAAAAAGTGTTATTAATCTTAACCTTCCTTATTTATTTACTTTCACATAAGTATAGTATGTTCAGGTATGACTTAGTTCTCTCTTTAACTACTTGATATCCGAGACCTAGCTTCTCAAGTTTGAGGCCTAAGATGTACATTTAATAAATATTAAAGTGTATTTCAAAAATTGTGCAAACAAAGTGCTATTATAAATACATTTCTAGATTTCAAAGTTAAAAATTAATCTATAAATTAATTTCCTCACTTATTTTGCTGGCATGCACCGAGAGAGTATTGGGATGACAACAAAGTTAAAAAAAAATTTACATACACTAAAAGTTGCCTTTAAAATGTATAAAATGATGTGGAACCTATTACAAATATACATAAATTACAGCTGGAGACAGAACAAAGGAATATGATCAGAATAACTACAAAATTTGAATGTATTGAGAGCTAGTCAATCTTAGTTGACGGCAGAGAGAAAATTTCTTGCAATAATTTACCATGGACTAAGTAGTAACCTGAAAAAAATAAGTACTGATATTGATATTTTAAGGAAAAATATTACTTGTCATTTCAAAATTAGGCTTAGCAAATGGTAAAAAGTTTAGTTTATGTACAAAATCCATATAGGTTAATTTGAAATTACACTGAATGCTGATAAAACCTTTAAACAGTAAACAATATGTCAGCCTATGTAATAGAAAGAAGGTCATAGACATATAATGAAAATGGAATATTTACCAGTAAACACATGAAACTATGATGTCTAAAAAATCCTACACTTCATAAATTACAATATAGCTGATTTATCATGCACAGTAAAAACGTTTATCCATGAACATAAACTATATTAAAACACACAATGGTAAAAAAAACATTATTGAAATGATTAACTACTACCCATTAAAGTTGTACGTAAAACTTGTCTAGAGCCATTTAAAAATATAATATTCAGAGAGATTTATTAATAGCTAGAAATAAAATTATACATCATGTAAATTGTTAACATGCATATAACTTCATAAAGCTTGCAGATTAATGTGAATGTGAGATTCAGACACAAGTATATAATTTTATAAAAAGATAAAAAAAATACCTTGTAGCATGTTCTATGATCTCCATACCAAAAGTATAAACCCATTTTTCAAAATATTTCCATTGTTTCTTCAAAAGAAGGTCTCTAGAAAACGTAAAAAACAAACATCACACAAACCAAAACCTCAAAGTATTTAAAAAATATCCCAAATTGGTTAAATGTTAAACAATTTGAACAGTTATACAACTGATATCATGCCAGGACTTAAAATTACCAAATAAATATATTCCAAATCACTATAACAATAAAAGTTAAGAAGCTTTTTTTTAAACTTAATACAGAACAATACCTTGTAAAATCAACTATATTAATGAAAACTTGATAATCTTTGGGGCATGCAGCTTGTCTTCCTATTACTGAATTTTCTTCAACAACAGATAGTTGATCGGCATTCACCTGTTAATGTAGGTTTATAAATATTTATATAAATAAATTTTGTATTTTTAATAAACATAGACAATTTAAATTATTACAGATATTAATGGGTATTTAATAATGCTCATTGATGTTAATACTATAGAAAAAACTATAAATTATTACAGATATTAATGGGTATTTAATAATGCTCATTGATGTTAATACTATAGAAAAAACTATAATGTAGTTACACAAAACCAATGTAAACAGTCAACTGATTATTTTATGTTTATAGTACTTCCAAACCTTAAATATCTTTCCAGGTATAATCTAAAATATACCTATTATTACTTAAAACATTGTTTTCAGACCGGTAGACCCAGAAACTGATCAGCCATCAAACGACTAAATGTAACATAGATGTTACAAATGCCAGTTCTTTTGTTTGTTTGTGTTGAATTTCGCGTAAAGCTAAACAAGGGCTAGCTGCACTAGCCGTCCCTAATTTAGCAGTGTAAGACTAGAGGGAAGGCAGCTAGTCATCATTACCCACCACCAACTCTTGGGCTACCTTTTTACCAAAGGGCGAACATGTTTGGTGGGACAGGGATTTGAAATCGCAACCTGCAGATTGTAAGTCGAGTGCCCTAACCACCAGGCCATGCTGGGCCAATGCCACTTCTATTACAGAAATTCTTTTCACTCTATACTCCTCTGACTTCTAACATTTAATCTCAATAGTTTACGTACAGATGCTGAAATGATTGATGTAAGTTTAGTCAGAGGAGTTTTCTACGAACTTCTTGAAATTAAGAAAAATGGAAGGAAAAGGCCAGAAAAGATTCAGTCCACATTTTGAATATTATTAAAAAAACAACTGGTGTACACTCAATTCTTTTTCAAAAATTCTGTTACAGAATCAATTTATTTTAAGCACTATGTTTCAGTGATCATAGAATGTCAGTGCATTAATGTGTGCTTACAAAACAAACCCATCACAGGCAGATGTTAGTAGAGTTTAAGTTGTAATTAATATCTTTGAAACACATTAAGTCATATGAAATACAGAAACTAATGTCAAGGGAAGTTGTATTCTACAATTCTCAGCTATATCATATCTCCCGAGATCAGTTGTTTAAACAATATAAATTTCTATAACTGTTAAAAAAGTTTTGTTTCATTTCCAAACCTACATAACCAGATATTTTAACACAACATAAGTATTTTATTTATGAATCTGGATTTTCATTTCAAAATTTCTTGCAAAGTGTAATATCTTAATGATCAATGTGTGAAAACGGATAAACGGATAAATATTTATTAAAAACCTCACCTCATCGGAAACTGTATTTTCACTAGATGATAAATCTAGTTTTTTCAGAACAGCAAAAACTGCTTGAATTATTTCATCGTAAACATTTTCAGCCAGAGACTGCCTTTCAGCAAGCGGGACTTGTAAAGTTCCTACCTCCTGAAAAGAAATCCATTAAACTGGTTATTTTGACTTTCCACTTTTATTTTTTGGAATTGTACAAAAGCAGCACAGCACAGTATAAATCAAATTTAAAATATTTTATAAAAATTATAGGTAAAGCTCATTGAGTTTTAGATATTTTATTTCTGAATTCTAAAAAGAGTTGTGATAAACGTTTTGGCTTGGTTGATAGTATATATAAAAAAAAATACAATTAGCATTAGAAAATAAAGCTCTAGAAATTAAGTTACAAGTATTTTCAATGAATCATATGTTTAACCAACTTTGTCCTCAGCAGTACAAATATTTCAAAGTTGATGGATCAACAGTAAACTTCCTTCATTTTATCAGTGCCTCTTCCCCAGAACTTATCTAATTCATTACCATTCAATCAATCCTCTTGCTATGGGTAGGTCAAAGTATACATGTCATGACCTTTTACAGTTGCATCCAAAACTTAATTAAACTACTTTATCATCATACAAATAAACTTGGCAACAAAATGTTAATATTACATGTTTTGAGTTCTTAATTTTATAAGGAAATATTCAAATAAATCATCAATCTCCCCCTTGTATGAGAATCATGAAATTTGTTCTCTAGGCATTTCCTCTTCTCTAACTTGTTTACCACCCCTCTCTGAAATACAGATTTAACGTAAATTACTTGTTATAATACAGATATACAGATCTATTTTTATAGCCTTCACTCTTATTTATTTACTTTACAGAGTCATAAACTAGAAAATCCAACCCACTTACTATACCCACCTGTCACATCCTCTCTTTCACAAGTTGCCAATAATTCTCTCTGACGTTTTATATCATTTATAACCAATAGAAAGGTGAAGTTTTAATCTATCAAATGACACCTAATGCTACATTGCTTTTAGTACATAGTATTGTCAATTTCGTCTTCTTTCTGAAAGTTTATCTTGTGATATTCAAACCAAATAGCTAAGGCAATTATTTTAAGCCACTCTTGTCTTAGTTAAAAAAGCCAGTTCAATTATAATAGTTATTTTACTTTGTTTGCTTTGTGCAAATTATTATTCTGTGTTTTAGATGCATTATTTAAGTAAATAAAAATTATTTTGTGTACTAATTTAAATTTCATTACCAACCAATAAACAAAAAGGTCAAAGATAAGTACTATATTTCTTGTTTTTCCTCTGTATTGTTTGTTATAAAAGTAACTAAAATGTAGCAATGAGAAACTATTTAGGTTATATAAGATTAATTTAGGTAAGATAATGAAAAATAATAGTTAAAAACATTCTTCATGAGGTATGCTCACGAGCAGCTTGTCATTATGTTATTCAATATAGTAACATGAGCAACACATTCACCAAATGGTAAGGTTATTAGTTAGATATGGTTCACAGGACAATGAAATAATAAATTAAGTATACACAGATCTAGACTGTTATAAACCCTAAGTTATTTTGGATGAACAAATGTTGTTTTCTGTTAAAATATGCAGTTGTTCAAGAAAAAAAAAGTTTTATTTTGTAATATTTTGATGGTGGATACAAATTGACTGAGACTATATAGAGTTAGGGTGGAGAAAATAACTATTAAAATATAAAATTTTACTGAAAAAATAGTTTGATATATATTTAGGAGGTTTTAGAAGTTAAGCAAGTGAAATTTGAAAATTTTCAGATGAAGAAAAGTATTTTTAATCTTAACATGAAAATCACGTACTTACTCTCTTACTCCATATATTCACAAACAATTCTTTAGTAAATATACTTAATTAAAAAATATAATGTTTTGTATATAAAAGACTTTTTTA